GGGACAGCTGCCAATAGGCGAATCAGCGCTGTGAGAAGTTTTGTTACGTTACATTGTACACTATAACATGAGTTAATTCATTCATTCTGTATATCGCACCTCCGATCAGCATGGTTGGCTACGGTGCGAAATAAGTTCAACATACATGCATGCATTGTAAATGTTGTGGCTTCAACACACCGGTGGGCTAAAGCAGTGAACTATTTGTCTTTGTCAACGTGACACTTTTTTACTGATTGGCCGTGTCGGGTGGTGGAGGGTTACGACACATTTATAAATAAACGCGATCTAAACCCAAAAACCTTGATCCGATACGAGTTGTAGATAGTACATTTGTTTGTATACGTGTCAGTACAATACGTGTTTGCAATGCGCGTGTCACTGGACATCCTTGCAAATGAGACGTTCAATCTGAAATGATAATCCAGGTAAAATATTTTAAGAAATGAAACTGCAATTCAACACACGGGGGGGGGGGGGGGGGGCCTCCACCCACATGTCTAACCACGCCTCCAGCAGTCACGGGAGAACGTTACTCTTAACGGGTAGGAGGAGTGCAGGCATTCTGAAACTTGCCCCAAGGCAACAGATCCTGACAACACGGGGAGTGGCACAGTGTGTGGGATGTGTGTGTGTTTGTGTGGAGGTGGGGTGTGTGGAGGTAGGGCATGTGTGGAGGTGAAATGTGTGTGAAGGTGGATCGTGTGGAGGTGGGTGTGTGTATATTTGAGTGCGCATGTGGGGTGTGTGGAAGTACGGAGTGTGTAGAGGTCGGGCATGTTTGGAAGTGAGGTGTGTGTTGCAGGTAGTGTGTGAACGTTGCATTTGTGTGTGTACGTGGAAGTAAGGTTGTGTGTGCAGCGATAGGGAGTGTGGAGGTAGGGGGTATGTGTGACTGCGTGGTTTTTGTGGCGGTAGGCTGTGTGTGTGTGGAGGTAGGCTGTGTGTAATGTGTAAACATCGCCACTGGGGAGACAAAGGCGACCGAGCGTGGTGTTGGAAACTCGTGTGCCGTGCCGGCCTTCATAGGTGCTCGCTAACAGCACTTGCCCCAACAGTCTGTTTAGGCTATAGGAGGGATCTTTGGCCCTGTGTGTGTGAAGGTGGGGGTGTGTAGCCACACCTGTATGCCTACAGGTGTTACGAGTGACTGTTTGTGGGCAGGTGTAGTGTACGTGCAAAGGTGCACATGGCCTGGCACAAGCGTCGTGGTGACGTCACCGCCACTTAGTGGCGAATGGCGGTTGTGTTGTTGTACGTGCAAAGGTGTGTGAATAAGAAGAGTATGCCAGTATGCACCCGTACGCAACGATATACATGTCAGTATATGTGAGTATGAATACAGCAGTTGTGTCTACACAGTCTGGGCATGCATATACGTGTAACTGTGGTCTGTGGCTGTGTGCACGAGTGCGTCCCGACTGTGTGGGGATGTGTGTACACATGGTGATCCATTTGTAGATACTGATTTCGAATGGCCCTTTTTCTTTCCAATGGTTGCTTGAATGTTGTCAAAGTGATGTCTCGCTATCTTACGGATTACAGAAAAATATGTGGTAATGCTGCTGCAGCTGCTGCTGCGTTGCCAGTGGTGCACCAATAACCATAAACTCAACATTGGTCAATAACACTGTGACCTTAAATGGATATATAATACATAATAGGAAGGATGCCCTGGTGGTCCCCCTCTTTAAGAAGGGGGACCGCACAGACTGTAACAACTAAAGGGGCATCTCACTCCTCAGTGTGCCGGGAAAGGATTATTCAACATCGCCTTGCCAGGCACGCTGAGGAGAGGCTTGCGGAACCCCAATGCGGTTTCAGGAAAGGACGGTCCTGCACAGATGCCATATTTTCTGTCCGTCTGCTACAGCGGAGGTGTAGGGAATTCGAACAAGACCTACATCTCTGATTTATTGACCTGGTCAAGGCCTATGATACCATCAATAGGCCTGGGCTATGGGTTGTTCTTCGTGCTTTCGGAGTCCCTGACCCGCTGCTCACTATCATTAAGGACCTTCATGATGGTGAGCGGGCCCAGGTAAAACTACGTGGCCGGGAGTCGGAGCCATTCCCTGTACACCTTGGGGTGCGACAGGGATGTCCTCTGGCTCCCACATTATTTAACATCTATTTCGACCACGTAGTTCGTGAAGCCTTCAATAGCTGTGCCGGAGGAATTTCCATCTGGTACAGATACAATGGGAGGCTGATCGATGCCTGGGTGGTGTCAAGGGATGGCTCCCTATTGCTCAACCATGTTATGTATGCCGATGATCTAGTAATTGCTGCTCACACAGAGGAGTTGGAGGTGCTGCTGCTGAACCTGGTGCTTGCCACTAAGAGGTGGGGCCTTACCATCAGCCCCACCAAAACTAAGCACCTTCCTGGGTATTTTGTACCATCGGATTCCACCCCCACAACTCCCAATTGGTGATGGGGCAGTTGTGGAGAGAGTGGAGAGTTTCCCATACCTGGGCAGTGTGTTCATGACCGACTCCGGTTTAACAGCAGAGGTCTCACTCCGAATCGGTTGCGTAATGCTGTGTGGAGGCTACCTGGTCTGTCGCTTCGCACGAAGCTTCAGGTCTTCTCAGCCACAGTCATTCCCTCCCTTCTTTATGCTTGCGAAACGTGGACTCCCCGAATGGAACATCTTCGCCGGTTTGAAACATTTAGGCTGGCCTGCCTACGATTCATCCTGGGTTTAACCAGGCTGGATTGTGTGAGGAGCTCACAAATCCTTGAAAGATCTGAACAAAGTCCCATCGGTGAGCTCTTCCAGCAGGCAAGGCTGCGTTGGCTGGGTCATGTAGCCCGCATGCCCAGCCACCGCATGCCTAAACAGCTTTTATTTGGACAGATCGAGGGGGCTAAACGGGCATGGCATGGGCGAGAGAAGAGATGGAGTGATGTGGTACAGGAGGATGTGGAACTGAGTGGACTTGCCAATGACTGGTACTAGCTGTGTCAAGATCGTCCTCTATGGAGGAGGCTCGTGAAGGATGCGACTGGGCAGTTGGAGGCAATCGCCCTCCAACAACAACGGAGGGCGGAGGAGCGACGCTCACAATGAGCGGAGCGCCGGGTGGCTAAACCAAAGCAAGTTGTCACAGTAGGGGGCACAGGTTGTGCATCAGCCAGTCATCTCAGTCAACCCGTGGCACCTGGGTCTGTCCCGTGACTTCGTGCCAGTGGGCGTTCGACACTTCATGTGGCCTCAACGTGTACATAGCCTGGCACAAGCGTCGTGGTGACGTCACCACCACTTAGTGGAGAATGGCGGTTGTTTTACGTACGTGTGTATCCATACACACGTGCGTGTATCGGTGCACATGTGTGTGACAACCGATGTGATGAGTATATCGGCACGGAATTGCCATGGCACTGCATATTGGCGTGTGCATCCTTCTATGGTTTGAAACTCATCTATGTGCAATGAAGAAGGGCCATTGCATGAAACGTCACCTAATCAGTATTATATGTACCCCCCCCCCCCCTCTTTTAAGGCCACGGTGTTAATGACGAACGTGTTGGGAGTTTTGTGTTTTAGTGCTTTTGCACCACTGCCAATGCAGCGGAAGCAGAAGCAGCAGCAGAAGCAGCAGAAGCAGCAGCAGAAGCAGCAGAAGCAGCAGCAGAAGCAGCAGCAGAAGCAGCAGCATCACCGATCCGATGCGGACAGCACCCACCACACAAAGACAAAGACCTCCCCCCTACCCCACCATACAGCCTTCACATACTGTTGGGGCAAGTGCTATTGGCGAGTAGCAGCCCCAATAGAACGGCTGGCACACCACACGAGTTGGATGGGTGGCCAGCACCACGCCCGGCCGCCTTTGTCTCCCTAGTGGCGATGTTTACACATCACAGCAGGTACTCATTTGAGGCAGAGTCGACCTAGGGGAGGCCCAGGACCGGTTCAGATATTCGTCACCACCATTGACCGTGAGCGGGAATCGAACTCGGATCACCAGGTTAGCAGATCAGCGTGCTAACCGCTACACCACCGCTCCCCACACAGACACACACAGAGACACACATACAGACACACACACACAGAGACACACACAGAGACACACACTCACAGAGACACACATACAGACACAGAGACACACACACACAGAGACAGAGACACACACAGAGACACACACAGACACACAACACACAGAGACACACCCACACAGAGACAAACATACACACACAGAGACACACACCCACAGAGACACACATACACACACAGAGACACACACCCACACACACAGACACGCACACACAGAGACACGCACACACAGAGACTCGCACACACAGAGACACGCACACACAGAGACACACACACACAGAGACACACATACACACACAGACACACATACCCACACAGACACACATACCCACACAGAGACACACACACACAGAGACAGAGACACGCAGAGACAGAGACACTCACACAGAGACACACAGACACACACAAAGATCCAAAGATCCCCCGTATAGCCTTAACAGACTGTAGGGGCAAGTGCTGTTAGCGAGCACCTATGAAGGCCAGAACGGTACACGAGGGGGTGGGTGGCCAGCACCACGCCCGACCGCCTTTGTCTCCCTAGTGACGATGTTTACACACCACACCAGGTACTCATTTAAGGCTGAGTTGACCTAGGGGAGGCCCAGGACCGGTTTAGATAATCGTCACTGGTGTTAGCCGTGAGCGGGAATCGAACCCGGGTCGCCAGGTTCATAGCGCAGCGCGCTAACCGCTACACTACCGCTCCCCCAGACACACACACACACAGACACACACACACAGAGACACACACACACAGACACACACACAGACACACACACACAGACACACACAGACAGACACACACACACAGACACACAGACAGGCACACACACACAGACACACACACAGACACACAGACACACACACAGACACACACAGACACACACAGACACATAAACAGGCGTGCACAGGTGCGACACCTGTGCACGACCCTCACCTTGGGCATCGCCACCGCTGGTCAGCACGCCGATCGCCTTGCCCGCGCCCGACAGGCTGTCGAACACCCGCTTGTCCGCCGCCTCTGCCATTGTCGCAGCTGGCGCCAAGAAGCTTCCACTCCCTGTTAGACGTTCCATGTCATGGCCCAAAGACAACAACACGATGTGACGGTGACGATCGTGAACGATTGCCCCCGTGCAGAGAGCGAGGAAACGACGACTGGGTTCAAGCGCTGTTTGCGAGCGCCTATTAAGGCACGGACCAGAGGGGTTGCCAGCACCACTCCCGGCCGCCTTTGTCTCCCCAAATGCTGATATTTATACACACACAGAGATTACGGGTGTGTCGTCAACTCAAGGGGGGTGGGGGAGAGACACAGAAATGGTGCCAGAGAGAGGTCGAGGTGGTCGCCACTGATGGTGGCCGTGAGTGGGGAATGGGACTTGGGGATTCGCCACACTGACAGGGGGAGGGGGGGTTCGTGAACGCACGCAGTGCGCTAACCATTGCGCCACCGCTCCTCCGCCGTTGTGCGTTGTACAGAGAGAGGAGGAGGAGGGGGGGGGAGACGTCGTCGAGGTTCATGAACATTTATTATTCAGAGAGGCGCCGTGTTGGAGGCAGCGACCAGACAGGAAGACGGTGGTGGTGGTGGGGGGGGGACCTTGCACACGCTATGAATGTGTCATCACTGTGTGTGTGTAACATACATACACACGTGTGTGTGTGTAACACACATACACACGTGTGTGTGTGTAACACACATACACAGACGTGTGTGTGTAACATACATACATACGTGTGTGTGTGTAACACACATACACAGACGTGTGTGTGTAACATACATACACAGACGTGTGTGTGTAACACACATACACACGTGTGTGTGTGTAACATACATACACACGTGTGTGTGTGTAACATACATACACACGTGTGTGTGTGTAACACACATACACAGACGTGTATGTGTGTAACATACATACACACGTGTGTGTGTGTAACACACATACACAGACGTGTGTGTGTAACACACATACACAGACGTGTGTGTGTGTGTAACATACATACACACGTGTGTGTGTGTGTAACACACATACACAGACGTGTGTGTGTAACATACATACACACGTGTGTGTGTGTAACACACATACACAGACGTGGGTGTGTAACATACATACACACGTGTGTGTGTGTAACACACATACACAGACGTGTGTGTGTAACATACATACACACGTGTGTGTGTGTAACACACATACACAGACGTGTGTGTGTAACATACATACACACGTGTGTGTGTGTGTAACACACATACACAGACGTGTGTGTGTAACATACATACACACGTGTGTGTGTGTAACACACATACACAGACGTGTGTGTGTAACATACATACACACGTGTGTGTGTGTAACACACATACACAGACGTGTATGTGTGTAACATACATACATACGTGTGTGTGTCAGTGTGTGTGTGGGGAGCGGTGGTGCAGTGGTTAGCGCTGCGCTACGAACCTGGCGACCCGGGTTCGATTCCCGCTCAACACCAAGTGACAGCGATTATATGAACCGGTCCTGGGCCTCCCCTAGGTCGACTCAGCCTCGAACGAGTTAACCTGGTCCCGGTGTGTGCTAAACGTCGTCACTGGGGAGACAAAGGCGGTCGGGCGTGGTTGCTGGCCACCACACTCCCTCGTGTACCGTGCCGGCCTTAATAGGTGCTCGCTAACAGCACTTGCCCCTACAGTATTCCGGGTAATCTTTGTCTTTGTGCGCGACTGTGAGATAAGATGCTTACACACACCGACTTGGTTAATTTACAACACATATATCGTACAGTGCACGCACGGAAACGTATAATCTCAGCGAAGGAAGGCGGCCAGCGATGGTGATAACAGAGCCGCGTTGTGCTGCGTTACGTAAAGATGTAGAGAGTGATGGAGAGAGTGATGTAGAGAGTGATGGGGAGAGAGATGTGTAGAGTGATGTAGAGAGTGATGGGGAGAGTGATGTGGAGAGGGGGGCGATACGTACACAGACGTAGCAGGCAGGCAGCAGGGAGAGGAGGCAGCAGCAGCAGTGTCAGCAGCAGCAGTGTCAGCAGCAGCAGCGGCAGCAGCAGCAGGGCTCTCCAACGTCTCCCCGCCCACTCGAACGGTCACGCCGCCTCCCTTCCTCCTCGTCTCCTCCTCCTCCTGCTCGTGACGCGCGCGGGGAGACGTCGTCACACACAGCCTTGCCCGCCTCCCTGCCGCTCTGCGGTGCCACTCCCACGCCCCCTCCTCCTTCCCCCCCTTACTCCCCCCCCCTATCCCTCCCCCACCTCCCCCCTCCTCCTTCCCCCTCCTTCCCCCTCCTCCTCCACCTCATTCTCGCTCCCCCTCTCCCACCCTCCTCCCCCCTCCTCCTACCCCCTCCTCTCTCACCCTCCTCCTCACCCCCTCCTCCCCCCACCTCTCCCACCTATCCCCCCACCTCTCCCACCTATCCCCCCCCTCCTCCTTCACCCCTCCCTCCTCCCCCCACCTCTCCCACCCTCCTCCCCCCCTCCTCCCTCCCCCCTTCCTCCTCCCTCCTCCTACCCCCCCTCCTCCTCCCCCCTCCTCCTCTCCCCACCTCTCCCACCCTCCTCCCCCCCTCCTCCTCCCTCCCCCCTCCTCCCCCCTCCTCTCCCCCTCCTCCTCCCCCCTCCTCCTCCTCCCTCCTCCTCCCCCCTCCTCTCCCCCTCCTCCTCCCCCCACCTCTCCCACCCTCCTCCCCCCCCTCCTCCCTCCCCCCTTCCTCCTCCCTCCTCCTACCCCCCCTCCTCCTCCCCCCTCCTCCTCTCCCCACCTCTCCCACCCTCCTCCCCCCTCCTCCTCCCTCCCCCCTCCTCCCCCCTCCTCTCCCCCTCCTCCTTTCCCCCTCCTCCTCCCCCCACCTCTCCCACCCTCCTCCCCCCTCCTCCTCCCTCCCCCCTCCTCCCCCCTCCTCTCCCCCTCCTCCTCCCCCCTCCTCCTCCCTCCCTCCTCCTCCCCCCTCCTCTCCCCCTCCTCCTCCCCCCACCTCTCCCACCCTCCTCCCCCCCTCATCCCTCTCCCCTCCTCCCATCCCCCTCCTCCTCCCCCCTTCCTCCTCCCTCCTCCTACACCCTCCTCCCTCCATCCCCCTCTTCCCCCCACCCCCCCCCCCCCTCCTCCCCCCTCCTCCCCCCTCCTCCCCCCACCTCCTCCCCCCATCTCCTCCCCCCATCCTCCTCCCTCCACCTCTCCCACCCTCCTCCCCCCTTCCTCCTCCCCCGAATCCTCCCCACCCCCTCCCCCTGCTCCCTCCGCAGCGCGAGGAGGGCGGGTGCCTCGCCGTGAGTGGGGGGGAGGAGCGGCAGCCACGGGGCAGCCGCCACAACCGATGCCAACGTCGTCCCAACGTGATGGAGCGGAGGCTCCGGTTTACGACGGTTCCGTTTGATGTTGTGTCGTTTTACGACGCCGAAACTCGACTTCAGAAATCATTATTTGTACGTATTGGAGGAATACGATCTCACCTATAAATGACGTCACGCACCTAGGGGGGGGGGTGTCAGAGACATTTGTGACGATGTGTGACGAGGGGGGGGGGCTTTTGAGAAATGTGACGTCACGAGAAAATGCGCAACTTTAAATAAATATATAATGTTTTTATTTCAACCTTTCGTAACTGCAGGGATATTCTTGGTTCTTTCGGTAAAGTCACGTAGAAGGGAACGTTACGTAGAAAGGAAACAAAATAATAAAAATATATAAAATATTTGTATTATTTATAAAACAATATGTTTTACGTTTTTATTGTTTCCCTTCTACGTGACTTTACCGAAAGAACCAAGAATATAATAAATAACAACACTCCTACAACATCAGAGTGCAGCGCCACATTAAATATGCACTACAATGACAATAGTTTAAAGCGATTTTAAGAATCTTTTATTTTCAAAATGGAAATATAAATTTTTTTTGGGGGGCAGAGCTTTGTGACGTCATATTAGAGGGGGGGTCTGACTTTTTGTGACGTCGTGTGACAAGGAGGGGGGTCAAAAATCGTCCAAAATCGCGTGACGTCATATATGGACCGCTCCTTTGCAAGCATTGGCCCTTGGATATGCACATTTTCGATCGTATGGGAGTTTGGGCATATTCTTCAACTTTTACCGTATTGCAATATGTTCGGAAGCTGAATTCAAATATCGCGAGGTCTCTTCGCTTCAGGAGAGAGTTTGTGTAGTTTTGCTGTTCCACCCCCGTTGAGTGAGTGCAGACTCGGACTGAACGATTAATCGATTTCAAATTGAAATCGCAATTTGAAACAATGCGATTAGCAAATCGTAAAGGCGACGATTTTTGCGATTTGAAAAGTCCTATTACTTACTTATTGGAATTGTTTTATTTTGTATTATTATTATAACTTAATTTATTTAACTTAATTGTTCTATGCTTGATTGTTCTATTTCAATAAAAAAAATGTTTAATAAATCTTGGAAGCAATTAATATATTTTAAGTTCTCATCCTTGCATTAAAATATATAGAGCAGTTCAAATTTTGATGGCATCATGTGGTAATGCTCCATCACATGTTTAAAATGTATTACACAGTGAATATTGAACTAAAGCTTGACTTAAGATAATTTTATCGCAAGTAAAATTGTAATCGCAATATCTGTCAGAAAAATCGCAATCAGATATTTTCCCCAAATCGTTCAGCTTTAGTGCAGACTACAGTAGTTCACTGTATGGTTCATAGTTGGAGTTGCATGACCACAGTCGCAGTCTGGCCTGCCTTTAATTTTCCAATAAAGAAGATATTACGCATGAGGCTGAAATTATTCTGATGCGCTTGATGGTTCAGTGTCTTCGAAGAACGTCAAAGACAGGAGGTTGCGATATTTGAATCCAGAATGGGTTGTTTATTTCTGGACGTCCACGTTGCTCCAGTGGGTGAGATTCTAGGATTTCTAGATTTGAAGCTTTCGTGACTGCAAGGATTCATATTCTTAGGGTTTTTTCGGTAAAGTCACGTAGGTAAAAATATTAAAATTAATAAAAGTAAAATTTTAAATAAAATAAAAAATCACGACGTTTCGAAGATGGAAGCTTGTGTTGCCTCCGAAACGTCGTGATTTTTTATTTTATGTTTATTTTACTTACGAAAAAACCTAAGAATAAGATTCTAGGATGGTGACAGCACGCTGCCAGAAGGGGTAACCCAGGACTTGAGGTCTCGGTTGACGGCTTAGGTTGCCATGGGCAAGAAAACGTGTCCGGCAGTTGCCACGTCTCCGTGGATATTTGGTGGCGGAATGCCCGCCAGTGGATTGGAGTCGGTTTCAGTGTTCGGTTTAGGATGGCGCTATTTCAATGTGCATCTAGCAGTGGTTGTGTATAACGAGTTGCCCTGTCCGGGCTTGGAGCGCAGTGACTGCCAACTGAGTAGATCAGTGACGGGACGGCAGTTTGAGGCACGATCCTTGGTCTTTTGACAGATCTGTCCTGGCAACTCGGGTTATACAAGGCGCAACAAAAACAAAGAAATCTGGGATCGTTTACAAAGGGCCAGATTGAGGTTGATTGATAGCCACGGCGTTGCAGTGGATAGCAGCAGCATGTATAGTGTGGTCTGCATTGAGACAGTGCAGTACGAATGAATTAGCGGTAATGAGGCAGTCACGCTAACACTTCCATATGTGACAGCGTTTATTGATACCAGTGAAGTAACAGTACACGTGTCCAGTACATTATATGCCCGTTGAGCTATTACACTCGACATGTTTCGTTCACGTATTTTAGAATATTTTCAGAATAGAATCACGATTTTTTTTTATATATATTGGCACGGTTGTAAATACGTGCGCACGTAAAAGCGAGGAAAGGCATGAGATTGTGTGTCCTGTGGACTACAATTTCTGACGATTGAGCGCTGTAACAGGATACAATTAAACCGCGACAGAATGAATGATAAATGATGTTCATATAGAAGGAAATTCAATCAGCGTCAAGGGCGGCCGAACATGGGGCTTTCTCGATCCACAAATCGTCTCTAGATACAGAAATCATGTGACAGGAATTACTTTAATGATTTTAAAAAAAATCTAAATATCACAGCTGTGTTCGAGCATGGATCAATCATGGATCGAGCTTTGTATCCTTAAAAATCGATCGATTGCCCGTTTAGTGATGCGTTGGATCGTTAGAAAATGCGTCTCGATTCCCGTTCCAGTATTCCTTATATGGGAAAAGCAACGTCCGATGACTCCAAATATGGGCCGAACACATGAACACAATTAATCATTCGTTCTGTCACGGATTCATTTCATCCTGTTCCAGCGCTCTGGATTATTTCTCTGTGGATTAAAATTCCTTCAAACAACATCTCGCCACCGAATGGTGGCGAGGTGGATGCTATTCCCTCTGCTCCTATAGAGCGGTGTTTCTCAAACTTGTTTGGCCCGCGGACCACTCGGCCGATGCAAACATTTCCCCCGGACAAAATGCGATCACTTCTCTCTCTAAATACCACTCGTACAAAATAATGCATATTACCGGAACATATGTTATTTTTTAACGCAGCTGTAATTTTTTTTAGGGGTACCATTTAAATCTTAGGGTTGGGGTAGTTTAATCAGGGTAGTATGCCTAACTTAATTTTTACATTAAATGTAAGTAAAATATTCATTGATGTCCGAAACAAAAAGGGATAGACATTGTCATTACTGTCCGGATCATCCTGCGTTTGCATCGCAGCCCCGCGGATCCACCCGGGGGGACCATCGTGGACCACACCGATGGTGCTGCACTCTTGAGAACCACCGCTCAAGATAAATGGCATCGTCTGTGCCGAGTGGTAAGGGCTTACTAACGTTGTGCAGCATTTCACGAATTGGTCATCACTGACGCACACGGAGACGCACCACGACCTTTGCCCGTAGAAGTGATATACGGCGAGTGAAAGGTCAATGCCTGTTTAAAAAAAAAAACATCCTTCCTTTCTCTCGTCAAAAATGGCAGAGATGGGTACAGTACATTTGACCTTTAGAATATCTTCAGAAAAAAAGCAGGCTGGACTAGAAAATGAAAGTTGCGTCTATTTAGGGCAAATGTGAGGCATGATTGCTGCTTCGCGGAATGTGTTAAACAGCTCAAGTGTTGCATAATGTAGTAACGTTAAGGGTGTCACGATGGTG